TAATTCATTTTCCTTCATTAATTCTTTCACAACATATTATTTCAGCAATACAATTTATTATTAAAATATTACCTTTAAATGATATTGAGATATTGTATAATAGAATTATTCAATTACTTCAATACCCATCATATCAAGTAATTAATTCTTTATTATCAATATATCTTCATTATCCTCAATTTAAATCTTCTTCAACAATAGTAGTTAATAAATTATCTTTATTTTCATTAGAATTATGTTCACTTCATCAAGGATTTTTAATGGAACCAAATCCTAATTTAGATTTAATTTCAGATATTCTTACATTATTATATTCAAGTCTTGAAGCACTTGAAAAATTCATAATTTATTGTACAGATTTATCATCTGTATTATCATTAATAGAATCAATTCTTACTAAATATGTTTCATTACTTTCAGATATTTCAGAACAAATATTATCTTTAATAAAATTAACTTTAAAATTTACAAATCAATCTCAACATCTATCACTTATAATTCAAAAATTTTTATTTGAAAATCCATTAGATTTATCAATATTATTACTCCCATCAATTAGTTTTATTTGTCAATATTCAACTTCAAATTTAGATTCTCATTTATTACTTCGTTATATACAAAATTCACTTCAAGTGTATTATAATGATGATTTCTTACTTACATCAATTACATTTACTTTAAAACAATTACTCATATCTTCTGTAATTCTTTCTTCTCAAATATTACCAACAATATTAGCATTACTTCCTCAATGTGATGGTTATTTAGCTCATTGTTTAAAAACAACAATATTTGTATCAATTATTTTTCAACCTCAAAACACTTTGGATTTATTTGATTCTTTAAATTCATTTCAGTTACTTCTTAATATGTTAAAACAATATTCTACTCTTAAAAATGATTTTTATACAACTAAAATTCTTGTTTTAACTCTAATTACTTTAATAGATACTCCTTCTCCATTAGATCAAGTTTCATTACTTCAACTATTAATTCCTTTTCTTCAATCATTATATTTATATCGTAATACTTATTCTCAAGCTATTATTTCAATTTCTGAAGATGACAATGACAATGAATCTCCTCAATGTGAAGAAGAACCAGTACCAATGTTAATTGAATTGAATGACAATGCTATATTATCACAATTAATACAGAAATTGATCTCTAAAAATGCTCCAATACTTCAAACATTAACATCAGAACAAATGATATTTCTCAAAAGAATACTTCATTTATAAAAATAAAAATACAAATATTTTTTTGTTAACAAAAATATTCAAATTTATTCTAATTTATCATTTTATTTAAAAATAACAAAGTTGATTGATTAAATCAACAGTCACTCTAATGTTGTGAATTATTCATAGGAGTGTCTGTACTAGTTAATTGTTCTTCATACATTTTAATTAATTGAGGTTGTTGAAGTAATTGTTGAATATCTTCAACAGTAAATGGCATATAAAACATTTGGGGTAATTCCAATGGTTTTGCCAACTGTGAACTAAAGTCCATTACTTGAGCAACATAATATTGGAAATTTAATATTTGATTAATCGATAATTCTGTTGTTGAACTTTGCATTAATTCTGTTAAAATCGTTTCTCCTTGAAACAGCATTTGTTCTACTTGACTAATATCGTTTTGAGTTGTAGCTGGTGGTAATTGTGAATTTTGATCTTCATTTGTAATAATTATAGTAGGTTGTTGTTCAACTTTTATCGTTGTATTAGGTGCAGGAGATGTAACTAATGTTGTTTGAGGTAGTTTGTTTACTTTATTCTTTCTAACTATTTTATTAATACGTTTATTCTTACTAACAGATGGTGTTTGTTTATTTAGTTGTTGTGGATTAACTATTGGAATACTCGGTAACTCTGAAATATCCACAACTGGAGATTTTAATGAATTCTCTTCTATTTGCATTGAATCAGAAACATTTCCATCAACCGAATCCTGTCCTAATGGCTTTTCTATTGGCATAGACGTTGTTCCAGAAGGACTTCTCTTTCTTACAACACGAACTGATGATCCTTCAACATCACTGTCTTGACTTGAAGAATGACTAGGACATTTAGTGATAGTAACAATTCTTTGTGGACGAATAAGTGTTTTATCTTTACAAAAATCAGACCATGTCATTGTTGGATGTGTTTCAATATATTTAAGATATTTCACACGTGCAGCTACATCTCTAAGTCGTTTATGTGGAAGGTTTGTTAGTAACAAAGTATATCTTTTTAATTCAGAATATTTATCTTCAGGGTATACTTCCATGTTGTTTTTTAATGTGTTTATCTCTTCCTCATTCCATTGAACACAATTCTCTTCACCGCGAGTAGGATCTCGTGAACTCATATTCTATCTTTTTTTAAGATATTGTTCTTAACTTCTCTTTTTTGAAGTATGGTTATAATATAGTTTTAAATAATTCTCTTATTTTAATACATCTTTTATAGTTCAATATTCATTGTTAAGAAATGAAAAGAAAGTTGTCTTTGAGACTAAAACCGAAAAGACAATCATATTTAAGACCAGAAAATGAATAAAAGAAAGTGAGATCAGTAGTAATGAAACAAAGTCAATTCCAATATTTTGAAGGAAGGAAGAAAAGGAAAGAGATGTACAAAGCGATGAATGAAGAAATGAAAAAAGAAATCGAAAAAAATGGATTTAACGAAAAATTCACTGTCCTTAGAGGAAAATTTGATGGACATGAGTACCTATTTGATGGCAAAAAATTATCAAAAAAAACTTTATCCATACCAGAAATAAAATTTTGTGAATGTCAAGTTAAGATTTTATATCTTTCAATTAATCAATATTGCTTAACTCAACAAGGGTTTATTGTTCAAGAATTTATTGGGAAAATTCTTAAAATTGGAAAAGAAGTTCATTCATTCCAAGTTGGTGATTTTGTATTAGGGAGAGATCTTTCTCAAAACTGTTTCAAAAACATTCTTGTGACCAACCAAACAAATTTAATGAAATTAAATGATAAAAATGAGTCAAATTTCATTAACTATCTTGGAAATATGTCTAGTGCTGTCCTTCCTTTTGAACTTATTAAGAACATAATAACTCTTCATCAATTAAGTAATATTCTAATCATTGGTAGTGGTGTTATTTCAATGAAATTATCTGATTTACTTCAAAAGAAAAATATTACTTACTGTCTTGCAGTTGAAGACACATTGTATTCCAAATATAGGTCGTTTGGTTATAATGTTATCAAAGTGACTGAAATAGACTCATCACTGTTACATAATATTGACACCATCATTGATTTTAAAAATGATTTTGAACACTATAAGAATTTAGACCACAAATTCACATACATTTACCTCACTGTTCTTCCAAAACAAAAGGATAGATCTTCACTATCCCAAAACGAAACTCATCCATTACTAAATGTTTATGGGCATGCTTCATTTATTACATTCCACTGTTCCATAGACAATACAACATTTTTTAATGATCAAAAAGAGGTTTGTTCAATGGTCAGACCTCATATCTCCTCAGTTATTAACATTAACGATAGTAAATCTATCGAAGATTCTCTTATTCACCAACAAGAAGAGGATGAGACCCTAGTTGTCTCTTTGTAGTGTTATAAATTAAATAATAACCTGGTAACTTTTAGGAAAACCTACATAACTTATTTTTATCCACTCGTTATTATGAAATATAAAGAACAAATCATCCAAATAAGTCATTTAAGTAATAATTGAATAACAATTTAAAGGAAAGTAAATAAGAAAAGTTTTTTATTTTGGAAGAAAATATATAAAAAGAGAAGTTAATCTTGTTTTGTTTGACGTTTTTTAATACAAGAAATAAGGGATGGTAAGACTATTAATAATATAACTATTAATAATGGAAGTAAACATAACACACTAACAACTGACATTATTAATGGATCTAATTGACATATTTCTTGTATTTTACCTTTACAAATAGTAGTGTTTGGATTAAAACAATATGAATCAAAGTAATTTGGCATATCACACCATTGACATCCTCGAATGTTATCTTTAAAGTTTTGAACATATCGTACACACTCTCTACAATTTTTATTAAATTCTTGACAATTAATTTCTTCAAAAAATGGTTCATATCCAAAAGTAGTGCAGACCAATAGAATGAGGAAGATTATCATAATGAAACTTACTTTATTGAATTTTAGAGTTTTTTTCTATAAATTGATTTATATAACAATAATAATAGAAAAAAAATAAGATTACTTAATTAAAACAAAAGAATATAAAGTACACTATAAAAAGAATGAATGAATTAAGAATGATAATAAGATGAGATTATTATTGATGATATGACTAATGCT